CCCCAAAACCCCAAAACCCCAAAACCCCAAAACCCCAAAACCCCAAAACCCCATTAGGGAGCAGCCAAGTTGTAATTAATATTTACTAATGGGCCAGTGCTGTCATTCAGAACCAAAAAGTAGGTTTTAAGTCTCTGACCTCTTTTAGGAGAAGGAAATGAGGTTGGAGATAAGGTCACAGGGCAAGCCTTGTTTGACCAGATTTTGCTTTTAGAAGAGGATACAGAACTTCCAGGATTCAAGTAAGACTAAAAGATTCATTATTAGAGAGCTTGTTGGGGGTTGTAAAGAGGAGCTAGGAGAGGATGATGGGCTATTGTTTCATGATCCCAGACATAAATCGGAGTTTGATTTAGTGTGTCAAGGGTCACCTTCTGTTTCTCAAAAGAAGGTTCCTTTGATAAGGAAATCAAGCATGTATTACAAAAAGATGAGAACTCCTAAATGAAACAAGAAGACTGGCTCGATGAAGCCTTTAGATTTTTCAAAAATAATCAGTCCTCAGAGTACTCTGCCATCAACTCTGGAGTCTTTCTCACAATCGTGCAAGAGAATCCATTGAAGAAAAGTATCAAATTTTTCTCTTGAGTCTCCAATACAAAAATCTGGCTACAAAAACTGAGATAGCCTTGGCCAGGTTAATGATCCATCTTCAAGACCAAAAGTGTCCAAAAACTCGGATAAAAAGCTAGACCTGCTCCTTACAGAATGTCTTGAGGAGGAGAGTGTCTCTTCTGTCCATAGCGTCAGTGAGGACTAGCCATATCGTATCTTAATTTTTACTTAGAAATTCATAAATTCTCGACTTTGTAGCTTTACTTCTGATTTTCCTGGACTGAATATATTTTCTTTTTTGTGGCAGAATGCAACTAGGCAAAATCTCGATACGTAGAGTTTTTGATGAACCTAGACCTTGTAGAATTGCTACCATATCATTTACACTTGAGATTTGAGAGACTGAAATTATGACTTTGTAAACCTTGTATAAATTGTTTTCGAATTTCTAATTTTTGTCCTGAATAACTTGAAATAAACTTAGATGCTCGATCAAGGAAACAATGGATATAATAAATTACTGGGTTAACCTATACTGACAACCCTCATGAAATGTAAGATTTCCTTTCTAATCCAAAAAGCTGGTAAAATTCTCAAAAATGGCTACTAAAGAGAAGATTCATATGCATCTTAGCCTATCTAGCTTTTACATAACTTGAGTATACAAAACTCTCATGCATCTTTTTATTTTAGCAAGAAAATTTACACACAAGGAATGCTAAGGTCTTAGAATAAATATTGCCACCTTTCAGGAGGTTTTTAAACAGGATGTAAAGATTCCTGATTCCTAAACTGTATGCTAGGTGCTCTGAAACTTCATTAAAATTTGCAGCCTGAGCAAAACTATGATCCTAGATTCATAAAATATTAACTTGAGAAACTTCTTAATAATAATAATAAAATTTTCATTTTCAATCTTTCTGAGGTAATTCGGGGTTTTGGGGTTTTGGGGTTTTGGGGG